AAAAAAATACACGAAATATTTTCTTAAGAACTATGTTTCACATAAGTTTCATCAAAATCAGTATGTACTGGTTGAATACGTTCTCTTGTAAGCTACAACTCTGATATACAGAATATTTGCCATTACCAAGGTATATCAGTTAAGAGTCATAATTTTACTAGATATATTCCATACATTTGTGGAAGTACTAGATAGATCAGATACGCTAGATATATGTACATATTTAACACATTAACACATTCACAACCATGCATCATATATGCTGATACAATAACATTAACATATATTTGACATGTGGTATACCCTATGTTGCTTTGGCTATATTGAAATATCATACATGTATAACATTTATGTAAAATAATTCGGTTGGTTTATTTACTATGTTTTAAATGTGTAAAAATTATATGTATAACATATCATTTGAAATAATTGCAAAAAAGACACAGTCCACAGCAAAGGTATTTCAAATTTGACTGTGGTCGCTAGCATGTTAAGCACTAAATTAGTCACCAGTGAATGATAATAAACTTTTCATTCAGGCTGTATTGGTCACTGGTAACTGACAATCACCACTTGACAACACTGAGTAGTCTAATTGAAAAGCTGAACAACAGATGTTTGGCATTTAACATGTTAAATGTAACATAGAACTATGTGTCTTACTTATAAGAAGATCCTTTTTCTCGTTAAGTTTGGATGCTATATCCGCAGCCACATCTGCATCAGCTGATTCGGCTGTTGTACTTAAATCTGCTATTTTTCGTACTGTTCCTTTTTGATGATCTACATCCATTGAATTACGTCTCTTTCCTAATCTTAGCTTAACGTTACTTCTATCTGAATTTGTTCTTTTATTCGTTAATCTCCTCTCAATTTCTTTCTCATCTTCTGAGCTATTATTGTTATGTTGTTCTGAATTCCATCTACCATTTGCAGAATAATGGTATGGAATGTTATAATTCTCAACATTGCGCTCTTGGAAGCGTTTCTTTGTTACACCGCACAACACTAAATCTTCTGTCAAAGAATCCTCTTGCATTTGAGTGCACCAAATTTTGTATTTGTCATTTTTATTTTCCCAACTTTTTAGTGAATTTCTTGACCGTTTCAGTTTCAATTTAGGTCTTTTACTCCTAACGTGTCTAGAATCTGAGTCGGAATCACTTTCAGAGTCCACAGATTCATCAGATTCATCATTATAGCCTATTCTTAATTGTTCCTCTTTATTTGAAACTGCATGAGGTCTCTTCAAAACGTTGTACGTCTCAATATCGCTTGCCTAAGTAAAGATGTATTTAAATAATTAATACGTGCATTTCATTATGAGATATCTTATTCGAAAAAGTTATAAAATATCACAGATTATACGCAAAGTTTAAAATTATATTCATTCAAATAACATGGAAGTAATTTAAATTTACATTCAAAATTGAACATTTTAATTTAATATCATTTTCGCTGAAATAGGTTAGATTTCTGTAAAACAATAGAATTATTGTATATCCACCTCATCGTCGATAACCTCGCCATCCTCAAGTTCTAAAGGTTCTGCTTCCATATTGTTGTTTCCCAAAAGTAACAATTTCTTCAACGAAGTATCACGAAATACAATCACGGTCACTGAACAACTTCGACTAAGTCCGTTCGTCTACACCTATTTTAATATTAGTTTTGTCACAGAGGACTCTTACAGATGCGAAACTCCGGGTTCTTTCAAGCCAGTTTTCAATATGCGTGCATATAGCAGAGGTCTAACTTACACCCCTGACACTAGTAACTTGAAAATAGCGATCCTCCATTACCTTTACTCAAGGAACTGCCTGAGACTGGATATGTGAACAAGTCTGTATAGTAGTGTTCAGTCCACCAGATAATAGTAGATATGGAGGGGGTAACTTTTCGTGAGGAGAGTGTCACTAGAGTGCCCGCGGTCACCGATTTAGCACCCTTGAATTAGGTGATAGAAAATAGTACATTTAGTACAGTTTCAATAAATCCACAAAACACACTTATGATCGACAAATTTTTCGCTTTTTTAATACTCATTGCCGCTGAAAATTAAGAAAATCTTAAACAGTTCGATCATGAAGGACGGCGCCACAATCATTCCACGTGTGATACCGTTGCGCCAGCACTGTCGCAGCTACTCGCGCGAAGTTTAAAAAGAACGACTATCGCCTTGGTGCCGTTGCGCAGCAACGCGCGTGCGAAGTTTAAGATAGTAGAATATCATTCCGCTCTCTTGTTCATCAGGACGCGAAAGAACTCGGACATTCGGACGTGATTGATAATGACGAATCTATAAAATAAACTTACTTTGCCCGTAATTCGATAAAAAGTCAGAACATTGTTATTGATATTTACAGTTAACGTTAAACGCGACGTACAAGAAAACCCTACCCTGCCTAACAAATAAACCAAAAAATGCTACTACTCTTGAGTATACCTCGCAAAGCATATCCGAGGCCACTGCATTCACAAAATCAAAAACTACTAAAATAGTGCCACCAGTCACCTATGTCGTTACAGACCTTTTATCTTACGGCATGATCGGAGGCCGGAGTGAAAAAAAAACCATGCGACTCATTGATCGCTGTTCGCAATCGGTACATAACACAAATTGAGACAAAGATCGCTGGTTAGCACTGGTCATTAGTGATCACTAGTGGTCAGGGATGAAGGTAGGAGTACACCACTGATGGTCAGAAAGGTCCAGGAAGGACTAGAAAGGACCAGGCGATCTCAGGAATGGCTACTAGTACGTGATGGAGGACCCCAGTTCAAGAGTTTGCGACAAACTCTGTACTGTCAAGACTGTTCCATTTACAACTAAAGGTCGCCGATGTTAGTTCGCGATATCCTTGATCTCGCTATCCAAAAGAATACCTCGTTTAACCGTTTACACTCGATGATATTGTAGGAACCTTGTGTTCGCGACGATAAAGGTAACGCCCGTGACTGTAAACATCACGACGGTTAGCCGATCACGGGAATATATGAAATACATAATGCATACTTTACTCAATCATAACAGGTTATTGTTTACCAATAGCTTCTTATTCAATTTATAACTTTAATAAGCTTTTAATAATAAAACAGCAAAATCACAGTTTTTCCGATGTTGATTATTACTTTTAATAGATTCAATTCATTCAAATGTCAAAATACAAGTCTCCTTTCATTATGGAAAATTTATTCGTGTCATTTCACACATGAAGTTTTATTATCTAACAATATTGTTAATAAAAGCATCATATGTTTATGAATTTTTTCTAATATTTTTAAATAAATGCAAATAATCAAGTATGTAATAAATTTTTTATTTTTTATAAAAACTAAAATCATTGAGATATATTTATTTGCTACATCCTGGTAACCGTTTATCTGATTGTTCTAAATTATGTCCATAATTACGAGTGAACAATGTTGAAATTATTTTCCTTTTTGTTCAGCTGTGTTTGAATTTATGTCAATCGTTGTTCTAAGAGACTGCATTATTTTACTACTGAAACGTTATGTCGCGACAATCAATACAATGAATAAAGAATTTTTGATACCAGCAATACTGTATTGATTGTCATTTAAAATTTCAGTATTTTTGATTCTCATCCCTATCATTTATAGCGCTACCATGCAAAACCAGCCTCAATCGATGTAACAGGGCGTGACATAAAAATGGTAAGGGATACTAGTGCCCCCGATGGTGTGTGACAAAATTTTACATTGCATGTTATATATCTATCCTATACCTCGTCTGTAGTCTCGGACAGTTTCTTGAGTAGATATAATTGAGGAACGTTGTTTTCGGGTTACTAGCGTGAGGAGATTAAGTTATGTAGACACCTCTGGCTTACAAAGAAACTGATTCTATGAAAATAGCCGCAAAACTCTGTAATATTAAATTCGCATGCGTCGCAAAAAATATATTTATGAATATAGTTGTAGAATTCCGCCGTGGTAAAAGCACATGAGTTTGGTTGTACAATTTATATCAAGTGTGCATATGTAAAAAAAAATTGTTAATTTTTTGTATACAATCTCACCTTTTCTTGTTATCTAATGTTTTACAGAAAGTATTAGAAACATCATCTGTAAAGAATTGAAGAATTCTCGAAATCCATGTTAATGAAATGCACTATTTTAAATTAAAACTTATTGAAGAATGTGCACAAGTTCAGTTATTACTTTAACTCTAAAGCTATAATTGATCATATTTATTTTAATAGTTAATTTTTGTTTATTTAATTGGATTGTGTAGCATTAATTGAATATTACACATGTTTAAAACTGTTTACTTTAGAAAGAATGAATGCTTATCTAAAAATGGTTTCTATGTATGGTTTGAGATGGTACAAAAAGTACCTGCCTTTAAATGTATTTTATTTCCAGAGAGGTAATATAAATTTATTTATTACCATTTTTATGCAACTATTGATATTAATTATTAAGTTATTATTTATAAAAATCATTAAAAAATAATTACTAACTCTGATTGTTTTAATTCTGATTGTTTTAACATTTTTCCACATTTGCCATAGCATAGCAATCAGTGAAATCAATTTGTAATATGTTATTCATTATAAATAATCTTCTAAAAACATCAGGAGAAACTGTTTATTTAATTATGTTCTGTGTATAACAATAGATGTAATTTTTTATTTTGTTTAGTTCTCATTATAAATCTTCTTTAACAGCTAATATAGCCACACTAAATGGAGTCAACAATAATTTTAATAATCATATTGTTTGGTTGGATATGGAAGTATGTTAATGTTAATTATGCAACTTTATACAGTTTCTATATTTGCAATGTACATTTCAATATTATTATTTTATTCAATGTTTTAGATGACTGGACTTGATGTTCAAACATGTCGCATAATGGAGGTAGCTTGTGTAGTAACAGACAAAGATTTAAATATTGTAGGTAACGAGTTAAATATAGTTATACATCAACCTAATACAATATTAGACAATATGAACAAATGGAATACACAGCAGCATGAAAGTGTAAACATTTTTTTATTAAGAATTTTTTAAAAATTAGTCAATAAAAATAGTCAAATGATATTTTTCAGCACTATATAAATTGTTTCGATTTTTAGACAGGATTAATTAATGAATCACGTTTAAGTAAAATAACCATACAAGACGCTGAAAAAATTCTATTAAATCATTTAAAAACATATGTAGAAGAAGGTGTCAGTCCACTTGCAGGAAGTTCTGTTTATATGGATCGTATATTTTTACAGAAATATATGCCGACAGTTGATAACTATCTGCATTACAGACTTATAGATACTTCTACTATCAAAGAATTAATTAAGTAAGTATTGTATGTATAACAATTTTTCACAAACTCATTATGGAAATATATAAGTTTTTTTTACTGTAGGATATGGAATTTAAATATCCCTATGTTTAAAAAGGGTCATAGGCACAGAGCATTAGCCGATATAAAAGAAAGCATACAAGAATTAGAATATTATAAAAAAAATTTATTTCATTCGTAACCATTCCATTATCTAGTACGTATACATAAATTATATATAATTGTATATGATTTGGTGTGAGTTATGTTCCATTTGCATTTAAATGGACGACAACATTTCATTGCTCTCAGAAAATTAAGTATGAATAATTTTATAACCTAGGTTAATTCATACATTGTTTATTTTCCTAAATTTCGCAAGATTTTAAATGATGCGGTTTCTTTAACGAAAAGTTCTTCATTTCAAACAACATATCGTTACAAGATTAATATTTAAAAAAAACTTCCGATCACTAGGTGATTACACGACAGGTCGGTGTTCACGGACAGGATTTGGCTCATGCGCATAGCGTCCTCAACGAACACAGATTTGGCCTTCATGAGTTATTTGCTGATCATCCCTGCTGTAGAGTCACGAGAGCCAAAATTTTTGGTTAGAATATTTTATAAAATAAAATAAACTTACATTAAAGTGACAAAGTGAATTAAAAAATATTTAAAATTACATTACGTACAAGTTTTATTCTTTCCATTTTATTATGACTTGCTTGCTAACACAAAACAAATTTGAATGTCGGTAGGTTATTGTTTAAAAAATGTTTATGTATTTATATATTTAAGAAATTATTTTGTAATTTTATGAATATGTGAAATGTATGATAATTAAAACATTTATAAACCTTTATATCTGAATATAATAAACTTTATATTTACAATACTCATACAGGGTCAGTTCAGTATTAAATAAAAATAATCGTTCATATGGCAAGAAACATATGTTTGATAATTGTCCAGAAACTTGTTGGAATTCTGATGCGGTAACAAAATATTTCCTTAAAATATTTTTATATTTAAGTTATGTACTAAAATATTCCAACTGTTCAAATTTACATTGTCTCAAAATAATATACATATATTATAGGGAACTCCACAATGGATAATTATTAATTTTGAACAAGAGTGCAATGTAAGTTCTTTTGAAATTGAATTTCAAGGTGGATTTGTTGGTAAAAATTGTCAAATAGAAATTGTTAATCAAAATATTGAATATTTGGAATCATTTTTTCCAGAAGACAAAAATACAACGCAAAGGTTTAATTTAAAAGAATCAAAAAAAGCAAAAACCTTCAAATTTATATTTAATGAAAGTTCAGATTTATTTGGTAGAATAATCATATATAAATTATCTATGTATTCATAGTTTTATACTTTTTAGTGGAATAAATAATTTTTTAATATTATGTATTTACTTGTATGTATTCCTTTTATTGACAAGTATATGTTACATAAGAAGAAAGCTACAAAAAGTTTTTAATGTATCATATTTTTAAAACATTTGTAATAAATTGATTTTACATAATATAATTTATTATTAAACTGAATTTTATGACATTATTCCATAAAATATCAGAGTTAGTTTTTTAATATTATCCATTCATTTATGTTTTGAATTAAGTTGAACTTAATTTAAATCCTATTTATTTATTAAAATGCATTGATAAAATGTATGTTCTTAAATACATATACACATACTCTCGCCCCTCAATTTACGTGGCATATTTTTATCTGAATCTCTTTCCTTGCAGCTTTCCTTTTCAATATTTTGTTTTCTCTTACACCGACAGACTCTATTTACGCGATTTTCATTCGGATAGAACAAATTCACGTAGAACGAATTTTTGTATAAATCGAGGGTCAGGTGTATTGTTACTTTCGTAGCAAATGCTTACAATGACTGTGTTATGAAATCAGCCAGAGAAAAAACTTATGCATGCTAATTTTTGGAAAGATGAAAAGTAACAATTTATTCAGAATGTACCGCTCACAGTGTTATTTGACTTAATAAATGTTTTGTTTACAAATTTTGGTAATTTAAAACGAATGTTACTTTAGCAAGTTTTTCAAAATATAAGTAAGAATTCTTCAAGGAATGGAAGCTACCCTTTGAGTTGAAATTCATGTTATACAATTTTTATTGATACAATACAATACGTACAATGATAATAGATATATGATAAAATCATAAACTGACTTGAATAGTAAATGATATCAATTTACAAAAATATTCACTTAGAGTAATTTAATTTAAACGATGTATTAAATAATCTAATTTAAACATAAAGAAATTGCATGTTTTGAATTCTACATTCAAGTATATACAATATACTTACATAATATATTGACAATGGGATTGAAATAAATCAGATACATTTTTATGAAATGTATCAATTAACAGAAATAGCAGGCCCCAATTGTCGCATTAATTTGTAACATTCCTGAAGCCTTTTTCTATCACCCACTCTTTCAAGAGTTTTAGCAGCTTCCGCAAGCATACCAGCACGTTCTCCAGGAGAAGCTAACAACAATGCAGGTAAATGTCGGCATGCTAAGCACAAAGCTACTGCATATTCCCTTTCTCCACTATATTGTTCTTGTGATCGATCTTTACCACAAATAATTGAAGAACGAGAATTTTTGTGATGCAAACTGCGATCTAATAGTATTTGAGTTTTCACTGGTGTTGCTCCTGCCATTATACGCGCTGTAGCTTCGTAAAGGAATACACGTGCTAATGTAGACTAAAAAAGATATGATTAATAAATATAATAAGTCAAAAAGTAAATATTTATTTTTTCATTATATTTAAACTTACTGGAATATGTTGACACAGTTGCCTCAAACAAGCTAAATCACGCTGAAAACCTCCCAAAGAAATGTTTATGCTTGGCCTTTCCAAATCATTGTCCAACTCTTGCCAAAGTGTAGTTCGCATCTCAAGTAACCAATCACAAATCCATAATTGAGTAAGCTAAAAAGTTTACATAAGTTAAAAAAAAATTGTTACAAAGTATGGACATATAAACACAAATTTCATTGGGACTATTTACATATGGTGCCGAGACTTGCCACAGGAGTTGCACTGTAGAAGTATTGCATAGTTATATTTCATGCAATGCAACTACAATGCACACTTGTAACAAGTAAGCAGTTGTATAAGTATGTAAATGTTATCGTTACTAAATAATTCTAACATCTAAATTAAAGAATATGTTCTAAGCAATTGTTTTATAGAATATTTATACATCAAAATAAGCTTATTAACAAATAGCAGACATAGAAATATTAAATATCTTACCAAAACATTTTGTGATGACTGTTGTTTACAATTATAATAAACCAAACACTGTTCAAGTAATATTCCTGCTTGATCAATTATACGCATGGAAGCCGATTTAGTTGTAGCTTTTGCTGCTTGCAAAGCATTCAATACGATGTACGGCAATGGACTAACACCATTACTATTATTACAGAGTTGGTAATTCTTTTCGTAAGGAAATTTGCTCTCAACAATGCTCCAAGCTTGTGAATCATCCTCTCTCAATCTCCAACATGCTGCTACGTAAAGAACTGCTCCCCACCATAAACCAATTTCATCTTCACAATCTAAAATATAATATTAAAAATCAGTTTCTCGAATATTAATATATTACAAAAAAAAACACAAGTTTTGTTAATATTAACGTACGTGTAACAGTGACTTTATCAGTACACAAAAAACCAGCATCGACTCCAGCAGAAGCCATGATACTTTGTCCATATTCCAAAATTGAAGATAAATGAGCGTCTCCAGCCGTACCGGTTAAAATACGTAAACAGTGACCAATTAAATAATCTCTATATGCACGCGATGCATATGATAGCGGATCAGCTTTGCTATTTTGAGATGTAAATTCATTATCTGACTGATCTCCGTACTGCCATTTTTGAAGTATTAAAAATCTCACTCCTTCTTCGCTCATAATCCATTTTAATTTTGATGGAACCTCACATGATGATAATAATATGCGCGCCTTACCCAAATAGTATTTGTGAATAAATGGAAAGAGTGACTGTTTAAAGCAAAGCGCGGCATTAATATATATTTCAGCTAACAATGATTTTGGCATAGTTTCACCAGCAGCTTCGGCATAATTTACTGCAGATAAGGCAAGATACAATGTTCCACTTTTTGATCCTTCTGTCAGTCGCAAACAAAGCATGTGTTGATAAATAATAGCTATTTCCATAGCAGACATTTCTGCTTGTTGTCGAGTGGTTTTTTCAGAAAACCATTTATGAGTACATAAGATCCACTTTCCAATCATTAATTTATGAAGAAGTTGTCTTATGATTTGCCAAGTAGTGGCAAGCCAAGCTTCTGTACGCGATGCTGGATATGGACGACCAAAGTACTGTAAGCATTGATGCAAATCACGGCACGCTTGACTGGATTCATTTTTAGATATATTAAATTCCGCTTGCCGTCTCCATCGATGAAGTTCAAGGAACACTTTACTATCAGGTGATAATATTGGATCACCATAAAGTAGTAGTCTACAAACTCCACCAATTAAAAGTATAATATTTGTTAACCACAGGAATACATTACTCCAAATTGGATTTTCAAATTCAGACTGGTCTGAAAAGTGAACAATATTTATAAATTATATATTACTATTATATGTTATACAATGTTATCTGATCTGGAATATCAGTACCAATATATATATCAGTATCAATATCTGTACCTTGATAATTAAGAATCGTACGGCCATCTAGTTTAGTATTTATATAATCGGATTTCAATCTTCCAACATTATTGAAAACAAAACCTAAAGGATTGAATACTAAAAAGAGGAACATGACACCACAAAGTGTAAGCCTTGTATGATCTCGTATTCCTGTATTTGTCAAAACAGATGTTGAATGAATATTTTGTAACGCATCTGGGTCATCTTTAATAGATGATGGAGATGGTGGAGATAATGGCGCTGGTGCAGGAGACAGAGACGGTTCGCTTGAATCTGACCTGGGTGGTGTTAATTCACCACACACTAATAAATCGCGCAAATTTTGCCTCTGTGCAGCCATTTTTAAAGCCATATTTTCTGCTTTCAGTTTTGCATTAGAATTCTGTAGAAATCTGAAATTTTCATATTTGTATAGAAAAAGTTTCTGTACAAATATGAAAATATAATATAATGCATGCATAGAAAATGAAATACGACTGTATATACCTTATATAATCAATAGTCTTTCTCAAGATAGCTGACTTATTTAACTTGGCATCCTCACCTACAATAATATTTTTCAATTCTATAATTTTATCATTAATCGATGTTCTGTAACGACGTTCAATAGCATTGTGGGCACTGCGCTTGACTTCTTTTACCCTTGGTACACCTACGTGTGCACTTGTATTCAGACGGTTAATCTGTACTTTGTCTGTGTCCAATACAACAGGAATACCTAATTAAAAATTTAAATGTAATTAATTTTAATATTAGGTTTACAGGATCCGTCAATCTAACGGATTTTGGACTTCATAAGCAGTATTACAAAAACCATTACTATTATTTCCGTGCAATTTTTACTGACTTTTGTTGATAAAATGATACGAATATATACTCAAATCTATTTCCCTCTCAGTTTTGTAATTTCAAAATTCTGTATGATGTATACCTATTTCTCCGAATACCCATCAATTGGCGGGTTGCATCGAACCAGATATCAACATGCCGCGGTTCGTCAAAGCAAGGAGTTTTCACTAGTATACCACTTGCAAAAAATTATTTATACAAAAAAACAACTTTAGTGGTGACTATTTGGACGGACAAGAGAGTTACCGAAACCAGCAAAAGGAAGCAAAGATAAAATGACCTCGTTTACCTCACTGTATTGTAAATTAGATAACTGCGTTCTCACTATTTACCAGAGTAAACTAAAAGTAAAAGTATTGTTATTAAACACAAAACATACATTTGTGAAAGTTGAGAACTATTACAAACGTGTTCCGAAAATAATTAGATTTTACAATATGACCAAATTTAAAGTAGATGTAGTCGATAAAATGGCGTGCAAATAAATGGATTCAATCATCAAAGATTTTTTTCCTATCAGTCTGCAGTTCACAAATACGAAAGTTTTGTCAAATTATAAATAGGCAAGTCCTGTAGAAGTTTGTATAAGTTAATTAAATCTGTTAACATTGTATAAGTAAATTAAATCTGTAAATATGTGTAGTCATAAAATCTGTATAGTTATCATAGAGAGTACTAGCTTAAGAATATTTTTGGTCACTACATCTTTGATGGTTTAAATATTTCATTTTAAATAAACCCATGTTTTATGAAACCAACATAACCAAATTGTTTTTAAATTAAATTAATCGTTTTTTTTAAAATACATGTTTTCCTTTATCCGTCAGTTTGATAACTGTCCGGAAAAATAGGTATACAAAAAATGTCTGTAAACGTAGTGTTTATAACTACATTGATTACTATACTAACCAGTAGTTAGAACTGTTCCATTGGCAGTATTTACTAATGTATGTATTTGATGTGGCACAGATGTTGAAGTAACAGCTTGTGCTCCTCTGGAATAGACAACTGATTCTGACTTTATGAGTTTCGCTGGTAAAAGGAGCTGCCTCTGTTGTGTAACTGGTGCTATTGTTACAACAGGTGATTGAACACTGAAGTTTACATTTTGTGGAATAGCGTATTGTGAACTAAATACTGTAGGTGCTGGTGTTACAGATATCCTTTGAGGTCTACTTGGTACAGATGTTACATCTTGTAATTGTGGCTGTTGTTGTTGCAACTGCTGCTGTGGTTTTTGTTGTTGTGATTGTTGTTGAGTTATACAAGAAATCTGTTGTGCACTTTCTGTCACTGGTGATGTTAACATTACATTTCCATTTGATAAAGATTTAATAATATTTGGATCTTTAAAATCCTGAAATTCTTTGAAATCTTTAAATTCCTCGGTAGCGTTAAAATTTAAGAAATCTAAGCCCTCAGTATCCATGCCCAGAGGTTCATCCAATTGTGATAATAATGCGTCATCGTTAAATAAGTTTCCATTTTTTAATAGTTCACTCTCACAATTTGTAAGGAGATCTGAAAATCAAAAATAAAGTATATAAATGTAGAAAGTAAATTCAAAATTATAAAATGTATAGATACTATTTATATAGATAAATCCTAAATATAAAAATAAACTAAACTTATATAAACAAACACCAACTATAAAATAAGTAGCAATAAAAAATTTAGTGTTAAAATTTTTGAATACAAATACTTATTTATAATATTTAATTAATTTCTAAAATATGATATATATTGTAATAAGTTAAATAATGTTAACATTATTATGTAGTAAACAATACATTGATTTTTATATATTTTATAATATTTTCAATATTAAAAGTTTTAAATATCCATAATTAACTCTTTATATTATTTTTTAAACAACATTTTGTGACTCATTACATAGATAAGATTATAACAGTTTTTTCACATAATTATTTGGAAAGATTTGTTTATAATATACAAGAAATAACTGCAAAAATATCTTTCTACAATTAAATTTTTTATATTCATATATATATTTACAAAATCATAGAACATTAAACTGTAAATAGCAAAAAATATTTAAAAAATATGAAAGGTTTAAATGACTGTACATGTCACGTTTAAAATAAATTTGTGAAGTTTAATTTAATAAACACGACATGAGACTTACCATCGATACCAGTTACTTCATTTAAATTGAAGCTGTCATTTGACTGAAAATTAGAAAAGTCGTTGTCTTGTGTTGAGGACCATCCCTCGGGATCTGCCATTATGGCATATTATGTGTTATAGATATTTATTTTCAGTAAATACACGAGGTAATTAAAACAACAGAACTTGCTGATATGTCAAACGTAATAACTAACAAATTACGAACAGTCACCCTACCTTTACTACAACCAATCACAGAGTTTCTAAAGATCGGACGATATTACGTCAGTTATGTGTTACTAAGATTACAAAATTTATTACAAACTATAGACGCGTTTTTATCAAAATATGTCACTGTTAACAATGTGCAAATTTTCATGAAATAGAGAAAACATGATTTGTGTATAAGATTTTATATTGTTAATTAATATTTATAAATTTCTATTTAAATGTATATTAAAAAATATTTCAGGGAAAATTTAACATTTCAACCTAAAAAATATTAAAATTAGTGAGATAAATATATTATCTGCACAACTTCAAAACAGAATACGTCGCAATAACAATGATGGTAAAAACGGTTTGTCACATCATATCCTTTCATTGGTCCATTTTATATCAGTTGGGAATGTATTAATTTAAATTCAAAAACTCTAAAATTAAGAACTATCTCCTTTGTTTCTTGAAATGAAATATTATAACGACACTTTATAATGTAAAATATTTTAATAATCCGTGTTTAATTAATAATGCAATAATCAAGTAAAATTTGTAAAATATATTATTTAAATATTGTCCAATAAACAAGTTATCTTTTCAAGTAACGCACCAAGGATGCATAAATCGGTGTCCGTGGGCACTCTAGTGATACTCCCCTCATGATAAGTTACCCTTTCCATATCTACTTTTACATGGATTGAACACTACCTAGAACTGCTCATATACACAGTCTCTCAAGATATAGGATAGCATTGCAAGCTTATAGGACTCAGTGTCACATATTCTGAATTACCGACTGCATAAAAAGACAAGGGTTTTGTTCTATCCTCAACGCCTAGAGAACGATCAATAGGAAAACTATATCAAAGTAAAATGATTGAAATTGACCAAGTAGTAAATATAATAAACTAATATATAAACGTATCCACATTATAATGTTGCCATGTCTTCAAACTCCTGACGCGCGAAGCTACTTATTGTACTTATCATTTTATTTTTTCTACGAGTGTATCATATGATTTAGCGGCAACAAATGTATAAGGCACTTCGTGAATTTCGTACAAACCTAATTCTCCAAACTCGACAATAACGTAAGTTTTAGAGCTAACAACACTTTAAAAATTGACTTTCGAAGCATACTCTTTTCATTTTTTAGGATGTCGGTATTTCAGAATAGTCAACAGAAAAATACATTATATATTTTTTTAATAATTTTGTATTTTAAGTTTGTGTTCAATATTTCTGATTCTAACTTCTATCGTTTATAGAACTGCCATACAAAATCAACCTTAGTCGATATGACAGGGTGTGACAGAAATGGTAAGGGGTACTAGTACCCCCAGGAGCGTGTGACAAAATTTTATATTGCATGTTATGTCTGTACTATACCTCATCTGTGGTCTCGGACAGTTCCTTGAGTAGAGGTAATGGCGGAGCTGTTTTCGAGTTACTAGCGTGAGGGGAGTAAGACATCTCTGTCTAATGCTATAGTACGTTCTTGCTGGGATACGCGTTTAGTGCATTTTATTCTTATACTGAATAAACAATAAATCTGAACCGTATTAAAATAATATAATTAATAAAGTAGAAATTAATTTACACATGTTTAATGTGATATTGATTTTGTTGTATTAAATTTAGTACTGTTTTTATATATTTTTTATTTAAATATATAATATGCTGAAAATGATGAATATATGCACAAGCAAACTATAATAACTTATCATTCACAGTCTCTCTTTTAGTAGTTACTATTTTATGACATAAAAAAGGGTTTGTTTTTAGTGACTTTTGAAGATTATTTGAATGTTAATCCTCGAACAAATATGTTTCCTCTATTTCGTAATTTAAATCGAACAAAAGTATCATTTATTTGTAATTTCCATTCTGCAGTGAGTGACTTATTTCTATCTGTGTGTAAACTATTGATTAAAATGTTAAGAATGTCAATTATATTAGAATTATCTCTTATTTAATAATAATTTCGTAAATGAAATTGTACATTTTTTTATTTACATTTTAAGATTAGAATATTAAATCTATATTGGTTTTATTTATATATGTGTATACAGAAGTTTACGAAAAAAAGCAATGAATATAATTTATATAATTAAATCTTTGTCAATGTATACATACATTTTAATTAAAACTTTACAGAATTCCAAGGCTATAGTTATAAAGTCGTTTATTTTTTTGATAGTTAACATATGCTAATGATTGTGATTCAGTTAAAGAGTAAGAAGTCTTTAAAAACTTCTAACCTATTATGTACTTTCGAATTTCAAAATAATAAAACTCGTATTATACTTAAAATAAAATTTATTCAGTCTATTTCATTATAATATTTTCTTTCCCCTATAGAATGTCCAATGTATGAAAGAAAAAACATTTTCTCAGAAATTAGAAGATGGTCCTAATTTGGAACACTTTATTAATGGTACATTTAAAGAATATAATGGAAAATTAAAGTTAGAGAAAGGAGACACTTCTCGTTTAAGGCTGCCACCATGGGTTAAAACAGAAATACCAATGGGTTCAAATTACAATAGAATAAAGTCACAACTGAGAAAATTAAAATTAAGCACAGTATGCGAAGAAGCACGATGTCCTAATATAGGAGAATGTTGGGGAGGTGACAAACATGGTACAGCAACAGCCACTATCATGGTTTGTACAAATATTTTATATTTTCTATATTATTATTTGTAATTAAAATTTTAACTGCCATTAATTAGTAAATGTTTATAAGGGATAGTCGTTTACTAATAGAAACCAAATAATTTAAAAAATCAGAGTTATATAAAATTTTACTTTGCCATTAGGTCTAAATTTTATAATTTAGAATTTTATTATAATATTATTAAGAAACTTATCCATGTCGAGTATAATTAATATTTTGAAAACAATTAAACTGGACAACAATTTAATATAGTTAATGGGCGATACATGTACTCGTGGTTGTCGTTTCTGTTCTGTAAAAACCTCTCGTACACCATTGCCATTAGATCCAGAAGAACCAGCGAATACAGCAATTGCAATAACAGAATGGGGTTTGGATTATGTTGTACTTACATCGGTTGATAGAGATGGTTAGTCAATACTGCTTATAATGACATACTTATAAAAGTATAAACTATATGTATAAGAATATCAATAAATTAAAATTATGTACTTTATAGACTTAAGTGACGGTGGAGCAGGTCACATTGCAAAAACAGTGAAAGAGCTGAAAAAAAGGTATGAAAATTATTTAAATAATTGTTCAAGTTATTATAATTATTTTTTTAAAAGTAACCAGTAATTATAATAAATTTTATACATTTTTATAGGAGTAACATTTTAGTAGAATGTTTGGTACCAGATTTTAGAGGGAACGAAAACTGTATCGCAACAATTGTAGATTCTAATCTCGACGTTTTTGCTCATAACATTGAAACTGTTGAACGTTTAACACCGTTTGTTAGAGATAGGCGAGCTCAATACCGGTATATAGAATTCATAATTTTAAAAAATATAATGTTTAAAATAATTTTTTAAAACTTATATTTTTGTACTATTTAGACAGTCATTGAAAGTATTGGAAACAGCAAAAAAGCAAAATCCAGAATTAATTACAAAATCATCAATAATGTTGGGATTAGGTGAAACGGATGAAGAAATCGAACAAACTATGAAGGACTTAAGAAATGTTCATGTGGGTGCTGTAACTCTTGGACAATACATGCAACCCACGAAAAAGCATTTAAAAGTCATTGAATATGTTACACCAGAAAAGTTCAAAAAATGGGAAAATGTAGGAAATGAAATGGGATTCTTGTATACTGCAAGTGGTCCATTAGTACGATCATCTTACAGAGCTGGAGAATTCTTTTTAACAAACATTTTAAAAAAACAAAGGAATAAAAATATTAAAAAGCAATAAAGATATAGCTCTGTCGTGATCATGACCGTAAATATAAATTTACGTTTGTTAATATTGTAATATAAACTGTAATTTTGTTAAAATGTTCAAAAATATACATATACAATTGCAGTTGTATAGAAAATGAAGTATGTTTTAAGTATTAAGAATTATTTTTAAAAAATGTATATGACTCAGTAATAAATTCTGTTGTATTGAAAGTGATAGTAATATAGTAAAGATATACATTTTAAACATAAAATGCATTTTTTTTATGTATACATAAATTATGTTACAGTATTTTTAATCTGTATCCATTGCAACTGCAACTTGAGGATCTTGTGGACCTTCATCGGATGGTGGTGGTTGTGGAGGTCTTGAATCCTGTTCCGCATCTGGTTCGGTAGGTCTTCCACGTTTGTCGTCTTCAATTTGAGATAGATAGGTAGAGGTCGTATCCTCGTCAAATACTGTAAAATCTGTATTCTTTCCGACTACGGCAATGGAGACATTCTGTAAAAATATTTGTTGATTAATTATAAGTATTCAAAAACATAAAAATACTTTATATATTAGAATTCAGAAAAGACTGAATTATTTTACTTTAATTGATAAATCAACTTCATTAGGCAATGTATCTCTTAAAGCACGAAGACCATGCTTTACAAGTTCATCAAGATCACATGACATGAATTCATTTAAATGTTTTTCTAAATATGTTCTAGCACTTTGAGAACGTGCTCCAATAGCCATTGCTTTGCAATCAAAATAATTTGATGAAGGACAAGTTTGATAAATATGAGGTCCTTGATCCTGCAAAATCATTAACACTGTTTATTATTTATTATATTTTAATGTATGTTATATATTTAAATATAATAATTGTTATAATAATTTTTGATATAATATAATAATTTTTGTAATAACTTACATCATATCCACCTATTACTAAACCAACACCGTATGGTCTTCTATCGTATCTTTGAGTACTAGTTTGTAATTTATTTCCTAATGATGTCATTAACCGACTTACAGGTAAAACATCATCATGAGAATATTTATAGTTTAAACATTCAGTTCGCATATATCGACTGTAAATATATAAATATAAATTAATGATTTCATTAGAACAAAAATATAAGAATGATAATATTAAATTATATTAATATAGTTGTATGAATAAAATATTAACATTAAAAAATTTATTATATACCTTAACATTCTCGCATCAGCAGTTAAACCTGAAATAGAAATTCCCATGTGTTTGTCTATAGGAATAATTTTCTTCTGATGAGCTGAAAGTTCAGAAGAAGCTCGTTTCAATGCAATAAGAACAGCATGCGTTTTATTTTTAAGTCCAACAGTGGCTGATCCCAATTTTACAGCCTCCATTGCATATTCAACTTGATGTAAACGTCCTTGTGGACTCCATACAGTTACATCGCTGTCGTACTGATTACGGAACTGAAAATTAATTACAAAAGTTATATATTACAACTATGATTATAACTCTACATTAATACTAAAAACTATTTCCATATAAAAACTTTGATATACATTTCTTAAAAAGAAATCAGCATTAAAGCAAAATAACATACGATTAATAGATAGATCTTTTAAAAGATCTTAATTAGAAAATTTTAAACTACAACTATAAACATAACTATTCTTTAGTAATATATTTGGTTAAATAGGTATCACAACTGATCATGAAAAATAATTTCAATTAAACCAAATTATAAAATAGTATATGAAATAAATACCATTGTTCAATAATGCACAATTAACAAATAATGTAAGGTTGTAAAATAACTTCACACCTATGGTGAATTTTCAGAAAACAACTGTCATGCACCGGGATAAATGATTGAACGAGTAATATAGAGAGGAAACTTCAATAGTAAAACGTAACCTTGTGATTGAATTTTTAACCAATGTTATTAAAACTTTCATTTGAAGCAAAATTCTATTGGTTAAAATATTCATAAAATTAATATAATAATTTCAGTTTAATAGAACAGCATTAAATCAAATTAATCGTTATTTATTTAATTTAAATTATTTTAACATGGTTATTTAAAAAATATATTTAGCAAAAGGGCTAGCCAAATTTAACTTTATGTAATTATTTCATTACAGTAGTATTTATTAATCTAATTGAAAGTTAATCTATTTCGAGTAAAATTGATGTGGTAATTCATTACAATTATCGAAAGTATACATGATAATGAAAAACTGTGTTGAACATTGCATAGAGTAAGTATCGATTATTATCGATTTACGTATCATAAACTCGGTGATCACTCTTAAGTTCCTTTTTTCATCGACGCGAGTGGCTGTGCTTGCTTTTTGTACGTTTGATGATATTTATAAGAAATTTCTTATCATTCATACGGTATTAATATTGTGTCTCTTTTCATATGTAACAAATGATTTATAAAAATTCTTTGAAATACATTTGAATCATCATTTTGGTTAAAAAAAAGTATAACTTCGTAAAATTATTTGGGCAAACACGTTTGCACGTGTCAATAAGCTTTCATATTTTATAGCAATGTATTTTAATTGTTAATAAAATGATATCGTATTAAATTCATTAATATTGTTATAATTCAATAATATCAATTAATATCATACAGAAGTAGTAAGATATTGCAATCATAACTATATTACGCTGACGTTAACATGCCTTTACGTATTTTACAGATTGAAGTATCAAAATGACGAATTCGAAAGGTTATCGTCGTGGAACGAGAGATTTGTTTTCTCGAAAGTTCCGTAAACATGGGACAATTCCGTTATCCACGTATATGAAAGTATATAAAGTCGGTGACATTGTTGATATTAAAGGCAATGGAGCTGTTCAAAAGGGAATGCCCTACAAAGTTTATCATGGAAAAACTGGACGTGTATTTAATGTAACTCCTCACGCTCTTGGTGTTATTGTAAATAAAAGAGTACGTGGACGTATCATAGCCAAGAGGATTAATGTTCGCATTGAACATTTGACTCACTCCAAATGCAGAGAAGATTTTCTGAAACGTGTAAAGGAAAATGAGAGGCTCAGAAAGGAAGCTAAGGAGAAGAAAATCAAAGTTCAATTGAAAAGACAACCTGCTGAACCAATGCGAGCACATATAGTGTCAGGACGCGAAGAACCTGTTCTACTCGCTCCTATTCCATATGAATTTATTGCTTAAAATCTAAATAAACACATTTTGACATGATTTGTATTTCTTTGTTTAAAATTCCCCTTTGTTTTTGAAAGAAAATTATGTATCATTATTTTGTAATATTCTAGAGAATGTATCTTAAATTATAATTAATGTATTAAATTTTGATAACAATGATTTTATTTTCAGTCATACTTTTTTACATACATATAGAATTTGTTAGCACTTCCAACATTTCTAAATTACTAGAGAAATCGATCTAAAAATAAAACAAATAATTTTTATCAAGGTAGACTAGTTTCTTATTAAAATTAAAATAAATATTTCTTATATAAATTATTAACTTATTTTCTTAATAAAAAAGTGTTCATCTTTATCAAGGCGATTATATCAATGAATAACCATAAAGCTAATGAATTTCTCTATATTTTATGAACAAAATATAATTAAACTTATTTTGTATATACTTTGCTTTTATAAATAATCTAACATATAACATTTCTAATCTTATATACTGTACTTTGATAAAATATGAAATTACTATATAGGATTTATTTACTTTGCTATATATTTATATTAAATTCTAACTGCAATCTCTCGATTGGTAGAATAGGATATAACCAGTTTCAGAACTCTTCTGAATATCTGATGTAAGTCCATAAAAGTCTTCTATGGTAGATGCATCAATTTTCTGAAATAAAAATTCAACGTATATAAATATTTCTATGAAACATGCATATAGTGTAACGCAATGCAATGCAAGCTTACATCAACCATATCATCATCAAAAAGCAACCAAAACCCATGACTTTTAACTATTGAAATATAGTGTCCTCGATTAGGCCCACTTCCGCAATGTATCACAACTGCGACTAAATCATATAATCGATCTGGGTTCACCGCATCATCACTCTGCAAGTTAATAAGAAAGAAATATATAAATATAAATTAATCTTAAAAGTAATAAATTTGTACAATTACTTACGGTATTAAAGAGCCGTAGTTCTAAAGGAAAAACTACCCTGTGAGAAACTTTGATGTAACGATTATATTGTTCCACATATTTAAATCTCTTCAAATGCAATGCCAATATCATGGGTAATTTTTTCACTCTCATTCGTTTCTGGAATATAATATTTTATTGAATATTAATTAGATAAGATATTGTATGATATACATTTTTCTAAAAATACCTGTGCTTCTTGATAACTGCTACAGTGATCACACTTAAACTTGTTATCACTACAAAGGGTTTCAGTATTAGAGAAACATCTGAGGCAGTGAGTGATTGAAGTATTTTGATCTACGTCAACTTGTAGGTCAAAAAAGTCCTCATCTTTGCTTGATACAGTCTCACAATTAAGGCAGCGTGTTTCTGATGTCAGGATTCCTTGAAATATTTCGTGAACCCATGTAGGTTCTGATGGTGAACCTGCATCTCCTGCTCCACACTTTCCCCCAGGCGGTTTACTCTGACTTCTCTCTGCTAAAATTTAATAACAGTACTTCCAAAAACATATGTTGGTACACGCACGTACGCACGCACGCACGCACGCACGCACACA